AGTCACCTCATCTGTACTCTGAATTACATTGTGACTTTAGCTCCTTGACTTTCACCTTCTAGATAACCCTATTGACCCAAGTTTGTGCTCCTCTTCTGCGTGCTTGACTCTCTCCTGAAGGTCAGTGATGAGCGTCGATCACAAGGGCCAAGGATTGAGAATGAGCAAGCCTGGGGTCTTCAGCGCTGCGTCTACCACAGTCTGCTTCTGTGGTCTTCCGTGTAGGATTCCTCTGTGGCACCCTCACCAGAACAAGTAATAAATGTTCGCTGTGGTGATCCTTCCTTGCTCCTGGTTGGCGCCACACTTCTGATGCTCCTGAGTACCCCATGTGGCTGTCCATAGCTCCCTGGAAGTAAGCGGAAGTAAGCCTGTGCACACTAACCATGCTGGCCCTGGCCCGCCGGCCACCTCACGCCTGCAGCGCCCCGGCCCTGGCAGCCCTCTCCACTACCTGCCCAGACTCCAAACTCACTGCTCTTGGTCAGCTCCTCTTCCTCATTCCGAATCCTATTGACTCTGGAATCTTTATCAACTAATACATCCCCGATCCATTTCTTCCTTCTCCAAACCCTTAGGGTCTCTTAGGCGATGGCTATAACAGCCACCACACTGACCTTTTAATCTCCTATGACAATAGAGTGTTCGTTTCCTGTTCATAGTCCCCTGGGACACCCCTTTGCCTTCCCGACAACCTCATTGGAGTGTCACCCGGCCCTGCCAGCCGTGTCTTCAAGGCTCAGGCAACTCCTCACTCCTCACTGGTTACCAAAGGCCACAGGGGCCCAGCCCAAGTTAGGCCCAGAAAGACCTCTCGCCACCTTGCAGTGTCTCTTCTTTGAAGTGCCTTTCTGAGCCACCCCACACAACTGGCTGTCCAGCGCCCCCCTGGGTCTTCGCAAGTCTCTCCGCTAATGTAACAGTCATCACAAACCTGGCTTACATTTAGTAACAGCACTACTACTACATTTTCTCTCTGAATCCTCCTTGAGAGGGAGAAAACCAATCCTTAGAATGCTACGTAGCCCCCATGTTGCAGGGACATCCCATGTCCCTTACCCCCACTTGCAGGCAACTGCCCTGGACTGTCTACTGGGAGCTACAGGTGGAGTGAGCAGCTGGGTGAAGGCGTGGGCCATGGAGGGCAGTGGCTCCAGGGAGCACTTGCTTCTCCAGCTTTGACTGGCACCCAAAGACTCTGGGGACTCAGAGGATGCATGAAGGAGAGACATGTAGAGACATATGCGGAAGAGACATGCGGGTGAGAGACACATGGGGAGGCTGCCCATTGGCAGAGACTATGGTAGCCATCATATCTCTTGTCCCAGGCTTGCATGGCCCCTTTTACACATTTCTTGTGTTTCTTTGCCAGAAGGAGCCTTAGACAGTTTTACTGCCTTAGACAGTTCTATTGCTGAGGGAAGCAGTGGGCGAAACAGGAGAGGTCTGCTGCGCCATGTGGGTCACCTCCCTGGCCGCTGCGGATCGAACTTGTGCTGCAGTAGCTGGCGGTAGCTTCCTAGTGCTGCGATTTAACCCACTAGGCCAACCAGGGAGGCCCACCTCTGGCCTTGTTTACAATAACACATTTGCTCCTCTCTCCCGCCAAGACTTTGAGCTCCTTCAGGTCAAGGAGCACGTCTGCCTCAGGTCAGCCCCCCTGAGCACTGGCACAAAACCTGGACACGGGCAGACTTTCACCTTTGTGCTTCCTAAACCAGTCTGTACATGAGTTCCTTGGCTAAGAGGATAGGGATCTTTCCAGAATCTGTGTTTTGCCTTTGCCTGCAAATAGTGTGAACTCCACCTCGAACTCCATTTGAATTTTCCCCCAAAATATCCTATTATATCAGTTAGCTACTCCATTGGTTAAGCTCTAAACCACTTCTCCTAGCAACTCGCCCCCTTTGCTCCCCCCAAACACACACACATACACCCCAACCCTATGGGGCTGCCATTTTGACAAAAGCTATTTGTTTGGGCTTATTTGTCCCTTTGTTTTTGCCTCAATCCCATGCAGAGAGCAGGTAAGGGCTGGAGACAGTGGTCGCTCCCAAGCATGGCTGCAGCCCACACCCAATCCTGGAATCATCCTGACTGTTCCCGGGTTGGGGGGTAGGGGGGTCAGGGACAATTATAGGAAGTCAGTGAAGATGAGCAAGGCCTGACTGGCTCACAGGGAATCAGATGACCACACTCATGGGTCCGCCGACAGTTTGGCTGCCTTAAAGGGAACATCACACTGACAGTCACTGAACGCCAGAGACACAACCAAAGGCCAGACGCCATGCTGACCCTGCCCCAGACACCCCACTTACCCCACCTCTTTCCTTCTCTCATCCAGCACAGCACTTCTGTGTTTGGGCTGCAGGGGTGTAGGCAGGTTAGGGAGCGTGCTCTGGACTCTGTGGTTCTAGGCCCCAGCCAAGGACCCAATCCCAGCAGGTCAGAGCACACTACACCAGGGGCTCTCCCTTCATTTATAAATCCAGGCCTCAGCCCTCGAGAGGGAGGTGACGTGCCGCCCCAGGACTGTCTGACTCCTCACTTAATGCTTCGGTCATGGGAAGCATCCGTTGAAAGGGATGACCATTTGTTTCACTTTATTTTTGCTGAGTTGCCTTGGGAGCCTGAACTTTGATCTGGGTGGGAATCATTAATTCATGGGCTCAAGAGACCGACAGACTGCAGCGCTCTGCCGCTGAATTAACTGTTCTGCCCTGGCCCCAAGAAGAGGCCTGCTCTCTCCCAGTAACCTAATATTTGCCTGGGCACCCCCATCCCATCCCCACCCCTCTTCCCCCACCCTATTTAATCACCTTTCTTGGCTGCCCAGCTCCTGTCAGTGCAGCAATAGCGACAACCCAGAAAACAGGGAGGTGTTGTTTCCCTTCAGCTACTATCTTGTAACTCCCTCTTAATTTACAACCCGTTTGCTGTTTCAGATGTTTGGAAAGAAAACTCCTTAGTCAGCAGCCCTGGAAAGCTTCATTTTCAGTGAAATCTGGACTCTTCTTTCCCAGCCCAGGTTTTTTCAGTTTTGTGGCTGGAACCTAACATCTGTGCAGCAGGCAGAACCCCATGGGTCCTGTGTCACCAGACACCTGGTGAAAGGATGCATTCGAGGGTAGAAAATCTGGGCCCAGCCCAACCGGTGACAACTGGTACTTTTCTAATATTAGCAGGGAGGTAGATAGGCACCAACCAGCACTGAGAAAGAACAAAGATGAGAAGGGGCCCATCCCACTCAGACCTCGTGGGACCCACCATGAGTCCCTTTCTCTAATGACCTACAAGAAAGCCAAAGGTGCTTGAAGATGGGACCCTTTTCCCAGATGAAGGGGAGGGTCTGGCGCAGGAGTTGGGGGGATAGGGAGTGGCAGGGAGGGGGGACCTCCTTGGCGCTGCCTGGCCTCTGGTAAAGTGGTCCTCGGGGCTCCTCCATCAAAGGCGACACTTGTCAATCTGCCCGGGTTTTAATTGCCCTGTGGTGTGCTTCTGAAGGGTTGTGAAAGAAGGGGCAGGAGCTATTATTTTGGGTAATCATTTCAACATGGAGTTTGGTAAGGAACCAAGAATGTGACTAGAGTTGCCTTTGGTGTGTGAAGGGCTCTGGGCACTGGTGGCTCAGGGCTGCCCAAGTGACTGTCCTCACACAGTCACCCATGACAAGGAATCCTGAGCCTTCGAGGGCCACGTCGATGTGGCCTGACTGTCACTTCTGAAAGAGAAGCAGGAATGAAGTAGCCAAAATTTTAACCCTGGCACTGCTGCTTCCTAATTTGAACATCATGAATCAACCTGCAAAATGCAGAGAGGAATTAAAATAAGAAATACCAAAATAGAGGGCCACAGGGGGTAACTCTTAAGCACTAGGAAGCTATTGTAGCTACTGCAGCAGGAGTTCAATCCCCACCAGGGGGGTAACCCACGTGGTACAGCAGGCCTCTCCTGACCCACCTGCTGCTCCCCCCAGCAGTGTATTTCTCAATCTGCCTGTTCTGCTCCCCACTCTGTCCCTGGTGAATCCTCTCACTCACCCCCTGCAACTCTGCCTGTTTCCCAGTTCTTGTGTGCATAAATAAATATATCTTTTTTAAAAAGAAAATACCAAAATAGTTTTCTTAGGAGAATTAAAGCAGTAACTAATGCTAGACACTTCTCATAACACTTGGAAACAGTCAGTGCTCTATAAACGTTAGGTATTATGATTTTTACCACTATTATTGTTATTAACAACAACACCAAGTTCTTATTGGTTACCTGCAGTGTGTCTAGTCTGAGTTGGAAGTTGCTTAAGATGTGACACTCGATTGGGGAAAGTGATTAGGGACCAGCAGGCTGCTGCTTCCTAATTTTGACATCTTGAATCAACCTGCAAAATGCAGAGAGGAATTAAAATAAGAAATACCAAAATAGAGGGCCACAGGGGGTAACTCTTAAGCACTAGGAAGCAGACCAACTGTTCATGACTGAGTGGTTATGAGCCCCAACTTACTCTTGACATGAAAGGCGAGGCTGCAGAAATTACCAGGACCCCAGTCGACCAAGAGATGCTGAAAGGGCTCAGGGAGAGGAGACCGGGTGTCTGGATGACCAGGGGTGCCTCAGAGGGCCCCTCCATGGAAGGGGACCCTTGACAGCTTGCTCATATTATTATTTTTTTAAAGATTTATTTATTTCTGCATACAGAACTGGGGTACAGACCAGAGGTGCAGGGCAGTGAGAGGATTCACCAGAGACAGAGCGAGGAGCAAAACAGGCAGATCTACGAAGTACACTGCTGAGGGGAGCAGCTGGTGGGTCAGGAGAGGTCTGCCGCGCCATGTGGGTCAACTCCAGGCCAGGGATCGAACTTGCACTGAAGCCACTGTGGTTAGCTTGCAGTGCTGCGCCCTAACCCATTGCACTGCAGGGAGGGCCCTGTCGTGCAATTTCATCAACTGCATCTGGGCTCTCACTAGAAGTTTGGGGGCTCTGCACAACAGGGAGAGGTAAGGATGAGGAAGACCAGAGGCTCCAGGGTATGTTTAGCATGGCAGGGAGGCCCAAGCACACAGGAGGACTATGTGCCTGAAGGGAGTCCCCAACAGTGGTCTGGAGGGGCTCCACAGCCTTGTCGCCCAGAAGCTGCGGGAACTGGCCCCGTGGGTCATCAGACCTGCCAGGCTGTCCCAACCCAACCCAGTTAGCCACTTGGTAGTGACCATTCTTCTCCCTGCAATCTTCTCCAGACTTGTTTCAGCTTCCTCCCCCCATGGCCCCACTCCAGGCTTTTCCTGAACTCCAGCTAAAACAATGTCCCACTCCACCCCCACCCTCTCTAACACCTGCCTGCTATATTTTTCTTCTCCGAATGCATTACCATCCGACTGTAAACTTCATTAGGACAAGGGCCTTCATTGCCTGTTCACTGCTATATCCCCAGGCCTAGACCAGCTCCTCCATTAACGAGGACACCTCATCAACCTTGAATGAGTGAATGAACAAATGAGACCGCAGTAAATAACCCAATGCAGAGCACACAATTAACCTCAAGTAAACAGATATTGTTTGAGTTTATCATCTTCCCAGAAATGAGTACTTAAATTCTGAAACTACACTTAACATTAAGTGGGAAAAAAGAACCGCATCATCTGTGAACAACAATAAAATCCCCCCCCCCCCCGCGAGCTGTCTGATGGCCCCAGCCCTGGGGTACCTTGGGGTGCCCTTTCCTCCCTGCTGCCTGCTGCCAAAGTTTGGGCAACTCCTGGATCACTTGGCTGGGGGTGAGTCCAGGGCTTCTGACCATAAATATCATTTAGTCCCACTCAGCAAACAATGGCCCTGTGAATGATGGTGTCTGGTTTGGAGGAAGATCCCGTCTGTCTGATTTTTTTAAGTTGAGTCTGCTTTTTTCTTTTCTTTTTCTTTTTCAGCCTTCACATGTTGAACAGGTGCTGTATTCAACTCCTAGCCAAAGGGTTGTGACTTGTGGGCAAGGGGCCAGGGGGCCTGCGGGAGGAAGCAGGAAAGGAGCCCAGGGTGGTAGCCCCGTGCCGCCCACTGGTGAGTCAAGGGGGAGCTGCTTCCTGTTTTGTTGAAATAAAACCAACAAAGGAGACATGAGTGGGTGTCCCCTCAGAAGAGAAGAGGGGCTTATCATCCTGGCCCTCACCCCCTCAGTCTCCACTACCCTCTCCATCAAAGGGGAAAAAAGAAAAGGCGGAGCTTCCCTAGCAACACTCAGGTTAAGTCTCAGCGCTCTCACCAGCCACTGCAGCCTGAGTTCTATCTTAGCTGACCTCTCCTGACCCGCCCACTGCTCCCCTCAGCAGTGCACTTAGTGGATCTGCCTGTTCTGCTCCCCACTCTGTCTCTGGTGATTCCTCTCACCCCCGCACTTCTGGCTACACCCCAGCTGCTGTATCTCTTGCATGCATAAATAAATTCAATTAATCTTAAAAGGAAAATAAAAAGGTAAGAAATGCACAACCCTTACCTGGTAGTTTTTGAATTTGTGAATCAACAAATCGTGCCAAATTCTACCTAGGAGCCCAGGCTAATTGGGGAGACAAGGCCCAGTGGAAGGAGGCAGGTGTTTGGATCTGGTTTGCTTTTTTGAAGTTTATCTCCTGAGCACTTCCTGTGAGCACAGCATTGCATTAAGCTGTGCCGTGACAATACCAATTGCTGACTCTTACCTAGCACATAACAAGTGCCAGGCAGTGTTCAAAGTGCTTTCCACACACTAGCCTGTTGAATGTCCCTATATTCCTACAGAAGAGGAGCCATTATTTTCATCTTACCTTACAGACAATAAAACTGAGATCTTGAGAGATGAAGTAACTTGCCAAAAGCTCAGAGCAGACAAGATTTAAGTCCCAGAGATGTGGCACCAGGTCCATGTGCCTTTGTGACTTCTCAAACTCTCTTATCTCATTTGAACCTCACAACCACCCCCTGAAGTATCTCCTGGGCTTATCTCCATTCTGCAGGAGATAGCACTGAGGTTGGGCAACTTGCCAGGGTCACCCTGTGCTTTGCACACCTCCTGCCTGGAGGGCTAAGGGCCAAAGAAGAGTCAGGAATTCAGAGGGGCAAAAGGTCAATCTGGGCAGAGGTAACAGGGAGGAACAGAGCAGGAGCAGGGTAGGGGGAAGGGTGAGGGGAGTGGAAACAGGAAATGTCACTTCTCAGCTGGGCTCCTGAAAACCCCATCACTTTGCCCCCTCCATAGCCCAGCCTGGTAGAGCTGGCTGGGGGAGGGGAGAGTGAAGCCACCATCTCTAGGTCAACACCCATTCTCATTTTCTGCTCTGCATCCAACTCATAGGGGTGTCTTATGGGTAGAGAAGCAAACAAGATAGACTTCCCAGGTACCCACTCCCCAGCCCTCCTACTCAGGCCTGTTGCCCTAGTTCTACGGACTGGTGCCTCTTTAAAAAAAAAAAAAAAAGATCGATTGATTTGTGCCCACAAGAACCTGGGTACAGGGCAGAGATGCGGGGGTGAAATGATTCACCAGAGACAGAGTGGGGAGCAGAACAGGCAGATCCACTGATGTACACTGCTGAGGGGAGCAGCAGGTGAGACAGGAGAGGTCTGCCGCCATGTGGGTCACCTCCCTGGCCTGAGGGTTGAACTCATGATTGGAGGCTGGTGATAGCTTCATACTGTTGAGACTTACCCCCTTGAACCCCGTGGAGGGCCTAACTGGTTCCTCTTTAAGTTCTTCAGGACCAGTATCTCACTCATTGGGAGAAGGGCCACCCAGGCCCCAGGCCCCCTGGACTGATGCATTTCAATGCTCACAACTCAGCGCCATCCTACA